TATTAGGAGTTTGATGTATCTAATGAGTTGTACAAGGTTGGATGTAGCATACTCTGTTAGCAGGCTTGGTGAATACACGAGTAATCCGAGTGATACTCATTGGAGGGGCATTATATGGGTGTTAGGTTATCTACACCACACTTGGGATTATGGGCTGCATTATACTAGATACCTAGTGGTACTAGAAGGGTATAGTAGCGCTAATTGGATATCTGATATAAAGGACTCCAAATCCACCAGTGGTTATGTGTTTACCCTCGGACGGGCAGTCATGTCTTGAAAATCTTATAAGCAAATGTGTATATCAAGATCAACGATGGAATCTGAGTTTATTACTTTGTATAAAGCAACTAAAGAAGCTGAATGGCTTCGCCAATTTGTTGAAGATATTCCACGTTGGCCGAAACTTGTGCCAACTATCTGTATTCATTGTGATAGCCAATCCGCGATTAGACGAGCATAGAGTAATATGTATAATGAAAAGTCTAGACATATCTGTCATAGACATAATTCCATGCGACAACTACTTTTTAATGGGGTCATCTTTCTAAACTATGTAAAATCTAAAGACAACATTGCGGATCCGTCTTGAGAGTTAGTAGAAACATCGTCAAGAGAAATGAGGTTAAGGCCTTTAGTAATGTTACCGGATTGGAAAATCCAACCTAGTTGACTGGAGATCCCAAGATCTAGGTTCAAAGGGACAACCTAACTTCGTGTAACGGATGAGTCACTGAAGAGGTAAATCTTATTGCATATTCCTTTGTACAGTGATACCCTGTAGAGGTGGAAGGTTAAGCTAATGCTTTTAATGACCTAAATGATATGAATAATCAACCGTGATATAATGATATATCTTATATAGGTCATCTATGTGAGTGCGAAGTGGGGCCACTTCTTTAAGAATTAGTAAGACCGAATTCTTTAAAAACACTCACTCAACCAGGCTAGTGTTCCAAGGCCATACCGGACACACCAGTGAGAACAAGAACAATGGTTAGACTAACTCTTGTTTCAGGTCTATTATCTCGGTTTACACAAACGAAAAAACAGTTCAAGACATTACGTTCATTGGTCAGCCAGTAAATTCGATAGACTTTCACTACGAAAGGTTCAAGGCCAACAACTGCCTTTTCTGATACAAGGTTAGTCTGTGTGCTCTCTCTCTCCGAGTCTTTGTTGTAAACGTTGTTTGTTTTATTTATTCAGTCAATTTTCATTCATGTGGGAGATTGTTGGAAAAAATGATTTTATGGTGACTTTAATGTGAAATTAAAGTAGGTCCTCACCATCGGTTGAGGTGGGATCAAATGAGTTTAGATTCTTTGTAATAAGATATTTACACCACAAAAAGAATGACCAAAAACCATTAACAATTGAATGAGAAATTGTTTTATAAAGTTGGCCTCATGAATGAGGTATTGGGAATTGTGTATAACTACCAATCCTATAATAATTGTAGAGGAAAGCATTGATTGGTATTTAAACTTCAAGATTTTGATAAGAGCATAAGCCCTTTGGGACATTCAAATTTTTCGAAGGAAAAGGAGTTATGAATGTTTCGAGGATGAGTTTGGGCTAAACCTATAGTCTAAGTTGGTTATATAAAAGCTGTTATATGCCCAAGCTCGTGCGCGCCGCCTGCTCGCCTGAACCGGGCCGGACTAGACCGGTCCAGGTTCAGGTATGTGATCCGTGATCCATGGGTTGCGGATCTTGGATCTTGGGCTTGAGACTTGCTAGAATGAGTTTGGGTTGGGTCGGATTGGTGGTTTACCAAGTTTGTTTGGTGGCTACAGATATACACACGTGTATATAGAGTGTGTAACTCACACACTTATTCACTATTAGTTTTTTGCATTACTCCATTAGTTTATGGGCTGCATTTGTTGCCAACCTTCATGGCTAGAAGACTCTTCATCTCTTCCTCGTTGTGTATAAAAGGAAGCCATCTTCCTTGGTTTTAACACTTAATTTTTGGCTTCCATACTATATAGTCAGTGTGCTCTTATATTCTTCTTCATGTGTGAGATAGTGTTACCATTATCGGTTCACTGGAGCTAAATAGAAGGTGCTTCTGCATTAGTGGGTCTATACCATCGTATATTGGGAGACAGACGCCAATATATTCCCAGCACCTACGGTGAGGCGGTGAATCTGTTTTAAAAAGACTGTGGTATCACACAGGTTTTAGTTTGCTTTCTTTTCTCGTTTTATCTTATTATGTATTTCTATTCAATCTAGTTGTAATTTCCCATAAATTCATGTTATGTAATTTAATTTATTAAATATGAATCTGTTTGGTTTGATTTATTTTTTACAAATCATACAACAATTGCGAGTTCAATTTTTCTCAAATTGTAGACATGCAGGCAGATCCAAACTGCAAACCGAATCGTCAAAACCGATCGTTGAGCACCATTAGGACTCGGGCATATAAAATTTTCTTAAATGATAAATTATTTGTCAATTTTATATATATACAAACAAGGATAAATAGATATTTAAATTTTTTTATATTAATTTTTTCTATTAATTGATTTAACGGTTGAGAAGAATTAAATGGTAATGAAACTTCAAACATAATTTCCTAAACGTGTGGGCTAGTTGTATTGAAGACCGTTTGATTTTTATCTACTAATTTGGAGAGAAAAGGACAAGGTGTTTTGAGAAGTGTTTTTTATTTTTATTTATTTTTATTTTTTTGACTTATTTTCATTGTTAGTAATTTTTTTTAAAAACTTATAAATTTTTAAATTTAGTTCAACAAGATGAAACGAGAAATTAAAATTTTTTAAAAAAAATTCAAAAAAAATTTAGAAAAGACAACTTATTTTTGTCTTTAATATTTTTTTTAATTTTTAAAAAAAAATACTTTTTAAATTCTTCTCGATAAGATGAATCAAAAAAGTAAAAAAATTTCATATAATTTAAAAAAAGAAAAATGTTAGAGATTTCAAAAGTTTTATCAATTTTTTTACTAAATGTCTCATATGAGTGTGAGATTTAAATTATGTGAGTTCTATGTGGATCTTACACCTATATAAAATATTTAATAAAAAATTTAATACTCTTAATTTTTTTAAAATCTCTAATATTATTTTTTTAAAAAATGACTTTTTTGTTTTTTTTTGGTTTGTTTTTTTTCTGCCAAAATGACAAATGTGCCTAAAAAGGACAAATCCGTTTGAGCAAAACCATGATTGGGTACCACGGAATAATCTGACTTCACATTAAGACGTAAGCAAACTCAAATTAAGCTCACACACGTGGCGAATCCTAGACAGAAGAGTAAACTGTCAGTACTTTGTCGCTTCCTTCAAGAGTAATGGGTCATGAAAAAATATGCCCTTTCTGTCCCAAAATAATAGTCTTTTTTAAGGGAATTTAATTTTTTTTAATAGTACAATTATTATATTTGAAAAAAGTTAATTTTTTAAAATTATCCTTTTGATAATATATTTTTTAAGAATATCAATGTTATAATTGTACTTTTATATTGTTTATTAATTTAAAAGAAGGACAAAATAAGAAATTTATATTATTTTTGTACTTGATTTTTGAAGAGGAACTCATATTTTGAGACAATGAAAAATGGAATAAGGGACTAATACTTTGAGACGGAGGGAGTAGGTATTTTTAGATTAAATATATGAGAAATTTTAGGGGTTGTTTGGGGTGTGGATAAATGTATTTTTTGTCTTTTTGAACTAAAAAATTGAGAAAAAAAATATGGATGTTTGAGTTAACTTTTTGACTTTTTATGAAAAAATGTGTATTAAAAAATTATATAAATAAGTATATAGAAGAAGTTATAGATGGAATAGCCTGTACAGTCTGAAGCATGAGAGGTAGCGCGACAGAGGGTATAGTACAGGAGATTGATTCTTTGCTTTTCAGGCATAAATTAGATAGTGCTGTTCGGCCCATGGGGGCCACCACGGGTCCCGTTTTACTAATCGGAACCGTTCAATGTGTAATACTTGTCGAGTACTACATGCTTGTAAAAAATCACGTTGATTAGATATCAATAGTTATTTGATCGTGTTAGTTTTTCTTGCCAACTGTTAACTATAACACCATCCATTTTTTATACAAAACTGATTTGATCATGTAGTTACCGATTTTCGATCAATGTGATTTTTTACAAGCATATAGTTCTGGACGAGTTCTACATATTAACGGTTTGGATTATCAAAACGGGACCCGTGATGGGCCCTCATGGACCTAATATTTCTGTCAAACTTAGTGATTTTATATATGTAATTCTATTTTTTTTTCCTCTCACGGCAGTACAGGGTCATTTCAGCTGTGTAAATTATGTAAATCTTGTTTGATTAAAATAGTATGTATTTTAATTTTTTAATTTATGAATAGTGATAATTTTTTTACTCTTTTTTTTTTATAACTTTTTAATTTTTTTAATAGCAATGGTTGAGGGCCACAATTTTTGTGGCTCAAATGGCTCGAAATTGCCAAAATGTCTTTGGTAATTTCGAGCCATTTGAGCCACAAAAATTATGACCGTCAATCATTTTTCTTTTTTTAATATGAATAATGCTTGGGACCCCTTTTGGGGTCACCCCCTCAACCCCCTTTGCCACGTGGCGGGTGGTGATTGGAGGAGCAAGAAAAAAAGAAAAAAGAAAAAGAAAAAGAAAATGTAACCAATGGGAGAGAAAGGGGGTCAAAGGGGGTGAGGAAAAAAGGGAGATGAATCATTGTTGTTTTAATATACCCCAAATCAGGCCTTAAAGATAAACAAATTTTATAATATATTTTATGATATTTTTTTTCATAATTTTTAATATTATTCATTTTCTAATCCAACGAAGCCATGTAATCATCTCTTTTGAGTAGTGAATTAAAAATTACTTTTTAATCCTTAATTCATTCTATATTATTATTTCTCACATTTTCTATATATATTTTTAAAAAAATTAAAAAATTAATTTTTAATCATCTTCTAAAAAAAATATTAGCACTGTTAATGAGCCGTCGCAGTAGAATCATTTTGGATGTTAGCGGATCGAGCGAGCGACGCAGCCAAGAAGATTCCCAGACGTTTCCTCTGAACTTTCCCGGAAACTCTCTTCCCCCTTTCAATTTTCCCGCTTTCTCTCTTTCCTCTTTCTCTTTTCCCTTTTATTTATTTTTTTACTTTTCCCTTTCTCTTTTCCCATTGGAATCTACGACTAAAAAAAAAAAAAAAAAAAAACTTTGTTTGAGTAGCTGAACTCTGAAGGTCATTGTTTTTTCCCAGATCAGATCTGATTTGGGACTGTTTGGGAGCTGAGAAAATGCAGAGCAGGTATATGGAGAGATCGAAGAGCATGGGGAGGGAAAAGCGACCTCTGGATCCAGGTTCCAGTGAGGAAGGTCAGCGGGACCAGAAACGACCTGCTCTTGCCAGGTACTACAACATTTTTTTATTTTTATTTTATTTTCTTTATGATTTATGTTAACCAAGGCTGTAGCGCACTTGGCAAAGCCTGAGAGTTAAGACCCCAACTCTCAAGTTCAAAACTAAGTTGTTGCAGTTGGTATGAGTTTGATGTTTCCCGCAGTACGAGTTCTGATTTAAGCAGAATTTATCTCGGGAGTCGGGACAAATTCGCATGTTATAGTCTCTTATTTAGAACAGACAGCTGGACACCTCGTTTATCTTTGCGAGGGGCACTCTTCAAACTAGACGTGCAGGAGAGTGAGAGTTCCTGTAACCAAAAAAATAAAATATGATTTATGTTCTACAAAGTTTGCTTCTTTGTTAGTTGATATTTATTCATGTGTGTTTATGTATGTATATTGGTGATTTGATTAGTGAAGAAGATAAGTTGACTTTGAAAACTGTTTGAAGTTTATTAATATGTGTGTACTTGAAAAAAAAAAAAAAAAACTTGATAGAACTTCAAAATTATTATCAGTTGTGTGCTTCAAAACTGTGTGCAGTTGATGGATGGTGAGAGTGGAGAGAGAGAGAGGTAGAGAGAGTTTGTGTGTAGTGGTGGGCAACCGTTTTTGATTTGTTCATTTGACTTTTTGGTTAGTTAGGCAAAGGTAAATATTGGGGAAAAATCTTGTTTGGTTTTAATTGATATTTTGAAAATTGAGTTTTTTTTTTGTTTTTGTTTTCATGTTTTTTATTTTGTTTTTTGGTTATTAGTGAATTGTTTAATATTTTAATTATTTTTTTGCTTTTTAATACATCTAACTTAACTAAATATACTAAAAAGTAAAATATTTATAAAAAATTATTAAAAAAGAAAATAGATACACAAAAATACGAAAATATATTAAATTTTTATATTTTTTTTGTATGTAGTAAATTTTTAAAGATTTTTTTTTACAAATATTATAGTTTTTAAGTGTATCTAGATTAGGTTTACCTAAAAATTACGTTAATTATTAAAAAAATTTACTAAAAATAAAAAAAACACGGAAATAAAAAGCTCAATTTTCTGAAAACTACTCTAAACCCAACAATAATTTTTTTGGGAATCAAAATTGTGACATAGCTTCATCGAAGTGAGTTGTGTGCTTTATAACGTAAAATAGATACATGTTAGACTGATGGAGTTATTTTCTAGAAATATAACCTTTAGTCAACTTTCAAGTATATATAGTGGCGGAGCGAAGATTTCAATTTAGGAGGGGTAACATTGAGTCAAGATCATAGTGATCTACCACAATGCAAATAATTTTGATTTTTAATTGAGGGTAAAACAACTAAAAATGTAACATAGTTTCAAATTTAAAATTTTAAAGTTATGCTCAAGTAAGTTAGTTAGTTTTTTGCTTTATGTTTTTGATTTTTGATTGTTTATTTATTATTAATATGATTTGCTATTTTAGTTTTGTGAACAAGATGATCATTATAATTTAAAATGCGATCACATGCTATTATTAAAAATGAGAATGACAAAATTATACTAAAATACACCCAAAGAAAAGAGAGAGTTGAAGAGAAAGACATGAGAGAAAAGAGAGAAATAGTATAGAATTTAAAATAAAATATTTTAGTAAAATTAAATATTTAGAGTGACAAATTACAAGAATTTGTATTTTATTTTTAATTAATGAATCATGTTATAATGAAACTAATGAATTATAGTCATAATGAAAATCAATACACCATATAACTAATATAAATAAATATCTTCAAAACTAAGAAAGAGAAATCATAAATAAATAACAAGGAAAATACAATCAATAACTAGATTGAGATATTTGACTAATAGATTAACCTTGTTGGTTTTGCAAAGATTTTGTCAAAAACAAAAATAGAAGATGAGATATGAAAAATTATGACATACTTTTAATTTTAAAAATTAATTATTTTTCAAATAGAAGTAAAAGTGAAATTTCTAAAATTGGGGGGGGGGGGCACGTGACCCTCTTGGTCCCAACGTGCCTCCGCCCCTGAAGTATATATATATATATATTTCTTTAATTTGTGAATTGTAATATATATATAAAATTGGTTGAGACGGAGCCAGGAATTTGGTTCAGGGCAAGTCATGGTCAATAAGTAGTTTCGCCAAGTACAACATAAATGAAAAAGCATATTGCTTGGGAACCCTTCCCAGATTTATGGTTGGTTTGGGGTGTCCTAAAAAAGTGCACTTTTTGTCTTTTTACGAAAAGATGTGCAGAAAAATAGAGAGGTGATGTGATGGAAAAAAGATAAAAAGATAAAAAGATGGATTATATAGTCTATGTCAAACCAGCCCTTAGTGTGCAACCCTGCCATTGTGCCCTCCTACTACCTATAAAGCATATGCTCACCTCTGAAGTAGATGGTTACAAGTGTGGAAGATTTCTGTGAGAATGGTTTCCAAGATGGCTTGCTCCTCTGGATCTCTTGAAATGTTGAGTACTCAACCCAGCTATTAATGCTGGCATAGGTTGGCAATATGGCTTGGGAAGCTCTCTAGCATCTCTAGCATGAGTTGTTTTTTTATCATATTTGGTGTGTCAGGTGGGACCATTTTTGTCCTGCTATTCATTATGTGATATTTTTCATTTTGGCTTCATTTACTACTCTTTTGGCTTAGGCATCTTTCTACCTAATGCTGCAATGATACTCTTAAAACCCCACTTCAGTTTTGATTGATATTTTGAAATCGTCAATAATGTTTTGGTCTCTTTCCTGACCTTAATTGAAGAAGGGGCTCTGGAAAAATCGGGGGGCTGTCTCATTCCTTGGAACTTCTTGTTCCTAATCTTAGCTTCGAAAATTCCAGTTCACTATGTTGTGCTATACGACTTACCTCAGTCTTTACCAAAATTAGTACTTGCCAACTGAATTACATGACTTTTATAAGAAGTAATGCTGTGGACTAATTTTCTCATACGTTGAAGCTCAGTTCTATAAATATTTTATCTGCCTCAAATCTAGTTTACTGACAAATCCATATTTTGTGCAGTGTTATTGTTGAAGCTCTCAAGGTGGATAGTCTCCAGAAACTCTGCTCATCACTGGAGCCTATTCTTCGGAGAGTGGTAAGATAGTTGTCCGTTATGTTGTTTTTATTACGACTAGGCCTATACATGGCTTTTGTTTTTATTATGAAAGCTATCATTTTGACTTCATTAGCTCAGTATATGGTTGGATTTAAAAAAGGGAAAAAAAGGTTTCTGGGGTTATTAACATACCAATCTGTGACATAGTTGTGCCTCGTGTTGGGAATGATAAGCAATATGTATTTTTATATTTCACATATTTCAAGCATGGAACAACAATTGAAAATCACTGTTGTTTGGGCTTCTGGCTATTTTTGATTTGATGATCTAGGCTGGGTTGGCCTGTTGTGACAACCACTAGAATAATGACATCTGGATGCGTAGTCTTAAAGAGTCATTGCAATGGTATTTATGGACTTTTTGATCTAAAACAGAAGATATCCGCTTTCTTGTTCTGTTTTTCTTTTTAGAAGTCCATTTGTAGGCAGTCTCTTTGGCTTTCTTAAAGCCACAACAATTTATCTTAATTCTGGAGAGCTAGATTGTCCCCTTTTCTCTCTTTGTGCAAATTGCTTCAATAGTGCCCTATGTTACACGAACTCAGGTACAGGTTATCGGGTGCAGTTTTATGTCTAAGTTTTGGATTTATCTAACAAAGACATCAAAACATGGGTAGACTTCATTTTTTTTTTCCTTTAAATTTTTATTTTATTTTTAGAGGGTGAAAAATGGTGTTTACAAAATAATATAGAGCCTTGTATGCCCAAAATGGAAGTCTATGAATAGTTGCAAAGTTAGGTACTTAGGCATACTTAATTGGTGCATGTCCAACTAGACATTCTTGACACATATTCCAAATGCTTCCTCAAGTGTCCGACATGGGTACTTTGCAAATTTAGAAGAGTCGTGTGATATAGATAGTGCCAATGTGCAATTTAAATCACATTCTCTACTCATGTTTACATTATTTTTTAGGATTTTAATGATTGCTTTTTTCTTGCCTAATTTTTTGCAGTAGGTGTATTGCATATTTCTTGTTTGAATGCATGCTGTAGGTTAGATTCTTATATAGAGGTTTCTGTAATCACCAAGTCAGGCTGGTTTTTTGAATTATGATACTAGTTAATTGCATTGGGAAGTAGATATAAATTGGAATCTCAAGTCTCTCTCTCTCTCTCTCTCTCTCTCTCTCAAATTCCATATGATCAAGTTTGTCAAATATTAATGATCATGATTGAATCCATTGCCGACCCATGTCAATGTGGGGGTAATCTATTAGCATCATGTTTCATTAGATCAAGTGCTTCTTCTAAATATATAAATGGGCATAGTGTGAAACTAGTTGAAGCATGTTGAGAAGCTATGACTAAAGTCAAGTATACTCTTCATGGAATAAACAGCTGACTCATCTGGATTAATTTAAGAATTTAAGTGGTGCATGCTGAATATGCTTAATTATTGAGGTTAGTTGTGTCCATTGCTGTTTTCTTCTTGAGTATTTTTCAATGAGCACTGTCTTGAATGCTGAACAGGTTAGTGAAGAGGTGGAGCGTGCTTTGGCAAAGTTAGGCCCCACTAAAATTAATGGGAGGTATGATATTTCCTTGCAGTATCAGAGTTTTTTTTTTTACTTTTTTGTTTTTCGACTGGAGTTTTCTGTAGTGAAATTTGTTTTGATTTCTTTTATGTTCTATGTTCAATTAGTAAGCTTGTTGATATTTAACTGAATGAGATTATAAAATATGTCAGTGTCCATGGCATCGTCACTCTGTTTATTGAAGGTAGGGTTACAACATTAGTTCTGGCTTGGGCAGCCTGACCATTTGGGACTTAAATTTCACTACAGCTTCCAGTATTGTGGGGCTGAGGCATGTGGGGTTCGAGTCTACGGGCCTAATTTGGGCCCCGCCCTAACTCAAGCTAGGTTTGACAGAGCTAGTTGGTAACTTTGTCTATTTTTATCAGACATTCTTCATTTATTCGTAGGTTGAATTCTAGTAAAGTGGTGGACATCTTATTATGTGTTAAGAGTGACATAATTTATCATGGCCTGCATTTAAAAGTGGTCGTAGTTTTGAGTATTCGCATTGTATTATTGGCACACTAAATCATGCATGTGCTGCGTATTAACTATAACTTACACAAGTGCCATATGAAAAGGTTATTTTTGCATGTATGGTTCACCGACTTGTATGCTGGAACCTCAAAAACTGTTTTACATCATTTTGTTTTGTGGTCACTGTGCTTTATATATATATGTCCAGATGCTATCACCCATTTTATGGTCACTGTTTTTGCTGTTTTTTTGTTTCAATTGTAGTGATGTGACAGTTGTCTATGTTTAAGTGCTTTTCTATTAGATTTAACCTTGATTGGGGGGCGGAAATGCAGGGTTTCTCCAAAACGAATAGGAGGGCCAGATGGGAGAAACTTGCAGCTTCACTTCAGGTCCAGATTGTCGCTTCCACTCTTTACTGGAGGGAAAATAGAAGGGGAGCAGGGTGTAGCGATCCACATTGTTTTGCTAGATGCAAACACCGGTCGTGTTGTAACATCAGGTCCAGAGTCTTCAGTGAAACTAGATGTTGTTGTGCTTGAAGGTGATTTTAATAATGAGGATGAAGAAAGCTGGAGTCAGGAAGAATTTGAGTCTCATATTGTGAAAGAGCGTGAAGGAAAGAGGCCTCTTCTGAATGGGGAATTGCAAGTGATGTTGAAGGAAGGAATAGGGACCCTAGGGGAGCTTACATTTACTGACAACTCTAGCTGGATTAGGAGCAGAAAGTTTAGATTGGGTCTAAAAGTTGCCTCGGGCTGTTGTGAAGGCATTTGTATTCGTGAAGCAAAAACAGATGCCTTCATTGTCAAGGATCACAGAGGAGAATGTGAGTTTATGCTATGTCCATGGTTAGAATCTTATGATTCACGATTTGATTCATATGATTTGATACAAGTTTCAACCAAAATGATTTGATTCATGCTATTGTACCTTAAATTGGGTGAATCTTACCATTCAATTGCAATTTGCTGTGATTTAGTTTTGTTTGCATAATGCATGAAACAATATTGTTTTCGCAAAATAAAAAAAGAGATCAATTAATTATATTCATATATGTAATTTTATATGAATATACATATATTTTAGTTGTATTGATTTTAATTTCATTTGAAATACCGTGTGTGGTTTTTATATGTATATATTATGTAAAATTATATATTATGTTAAATAAAGCGAATCTTATGATTCACAATTCACATTTTAGAAAAACAATTCATGACTCGATTCGTGATTTGATAACAATAGCTATGTCTACTTTAAATCATATTCTGTGTGTCTGCACATGTTTTCCTATGCACTTTGTATCTGTCAGATTTTCAGTGGTTTGATTGCAACATTTTGTTTTACAGTATACAAGAAGCACTATCCACCTGCATTTAATGATGAGGTCTGGAGACTGGAGAAGATTGGCAAAGATGGATCATTTCACAAGAGACTTTTTAAAGCTGGAATATATACAGTTGAAGACTTCCTACGGCATGCAGTGAGAGACCTGCAGAGATTACGGAATGTAAGAGTGTAGCATTTGGTATTAGATTTATTTTTTTCACGTGTTCAATAGGAAATTTAATTTGTTCTGCTTCCTTTGTGTAGATACTGGGAAGTGGCATGTCGAATAAGATGTGGGATGTCCTTGTAGAGCATGCAAAGACTTGTGTTCTGAGCGGGAAACTTTATATTTACTATCCTGATGATGTGAGGAATGTTGGTGTTGTTTTTAACAACATCTATGAATTGTGTGGCTTAATTGCAGGCGGACAATATTACCCATCTGATTCTCTTTCTGATAGTCAGAAGGTAAGCTTCCTGGAGTTCCTCTTTCATTTTTTCCCCCCGCTCCCATTTTTGGAATAATGCTTCATGTATATCTGAAAATCATGACAGTTTTCTTTCTTAACCAAATCCATTATACTTGATCCTAAACAAGGTATCAATGCATAGTTCATGTTTGAGAGTAGCTTTGAAAATTGATTTTCATTTCTGATTTGAGGAGTTTATGAAAGCAATTGTCTCGTTATATTAATGTCAAGAATTACCTGAATTAGCTCTCCTTTGAATGGTATGGTTCGCTAAAATATAATACTGCCTTTGTAGTGAACTCCTTTCAGTTTATGAAACTCAAGAAAGAAATTTTGTTGTGTTCTCAAATTGCTGCAAAAAGAAGGAACTTGAGATCATTCTGATGATTTTGTTCTTACAGGTCCATGTGGATACCTTGGTGAAGACTGCATATGAAAACTGGATGCATGTTATAGAGTATGATGGCGAGTCTCTTTTAAGCTTCACTCAGAATAAAAACTCAGCTGCTTCTCAAAATGATGGTACTGTAGGCCCACAAGATTATTCTACCGCCTTTGATCCTCAGCTCACACTACCGAGTCTTCCAGTTTCGATTCCTTTGGAGCAGCCCTCAATGAATCCAGCCCTAACTGCAGGAGGTAAGATATCATGGAATACAAAATAATAGGGGAAGACAGAGGATCAACAAGGGAGGCAAATATACCCCTGAAGGGCCATCCAAGTTGGCAAGTGGGTATGATCCTCACATTACCAATGAGGATTCAAATCCCTTCCCGTTTGCCTGGTTCATAGGCTTAGGGGGTAGTTTACCTTCTTAGGTGGGTCCAAAGGTCCCTTCCTAGGATCGGTTTCTCTGTCATAAAATAATAAAAATAAATAAAATCTCAAAACCCAAGTCTCCATGTTTAGAGATGGTGGGTTGTGAGCTTTTCGTACTAGGGAAATTAATTCTGAACCCCTGTCTGACCATTTACTTAGTTGCTGACATGTGAATGCTCTCTTTGATTAGGACACGATGTTAGCATTGGTACTCGATATCCAATACAGTCACAGAATGTGAACCTCAATGCTCCTATTCAGTTCGATAACCCTTCATTTTCTCCACATAACCAAATGATCAATGCTTCACAACTAGTCCAGCCTCCTGGAAGTGAGAGTTTGCTGGCCCTTGGTTTACAACAACCATCCATGTCAGGCTTTGAGATTGGTGGACCATCTAATTTTACGTCTTACAGGGGATTTGAGGACTTTATTCCGGAGGAGGAGATTCGCATGAGAAGTCATGAGATGCTAGAAAATGAAGATATGCAGCATCTACTTCACATTTTCAACACGGGTAGCCATGGTCCCACCTCTACTAATGTCTTGGATAATGGTTACCCTTACTCATCAGCAGCATACATCCATAATCAATCTTCAAACCATGCTTTTGATGACCGGGCACGTCCCTCAGGCAAAGCTGTTGTAGGGTGGCTCAAACTCAAGGCGGCCCTGAGATGGGGCATATTCATCAAGAAGAAAGCTGCTGAGAGACGAGCACAACTTGTCGAGTTGGATGATTCATAAAGATGATCTCCTTGGTTTTGGTGTCTGATCTGTATTTAATGAATTTTTAACTTGAGCGAGGACTATGCTCCTGGATTTTGAATTGTTGGATACGGTCTGGATACTCGAAACATCTGCTGTTCCTCAGACTCAACCTGACATCTGGGCTCCTTTCTGCTTGTATAGTTTTTGCATGTACAGTAAGATTGCTTCATCTATCAACCTCATAATTACAGTTTGTCTTCCATTTGTTACAAGGAAGCTTCTCAGGATACTAGTCTGCATCTTCTGTCTGATCAACAGTGTTGGTTATTCCAACTAAAGATGCTTGCAGATGACTCGGACATAATGTGGCCATAAAAGCTTGGAATTTTAGCATGGGTCTGTCTTTTGCATTGGATATCAAAATTAGCACGGTAGAAGCAGGAGTAGCTTTCTTGTACGAACGGTAATCTGTTGTACCTTATTGTTCTCTTATAGCATTGTGTTGGTGGAAATCAAACACAATAATTAGTGTTGTATGTTGCTTGTATGTTGAAATCTAACACAATAATAAGTAGTAACTCTGAAAATTAGTTGAGTGCATTCTAATGTAAGATAACAGCTTTTGAACTACTGTAATAATCATAAGTCTGATATGTTTACATTACTGGATTAAAAGTATGTTTTGATTATTTGAAGGATCTATAGCATTGGCTTCATGACTCTAATTTGCTAGTCTTTTGTTAGTTTTAGATCATCATTTTATTTTCTCTCTTTTGTTTTTCTCTTTACCAGTGCTATCATGAGCCTAATTTCTGTTTCTTTTATAAACTTTAAGTGGTGAGACCAAGTAATCAAGTGTTTTTAATGGCGATTATCGTTTTTTTTTTTTTTTTTTTCAATTAGTTGCATGTTGCAGCAGTGCCCTTAAAAATGTTTTGTAAGCAACATCTTGGTTGAGTTAAAAGTTTCCTAGCTTCATTTTCGACTAGTCCTTGACTTATGTAAGCCAACATTGTGATGTTTTATGTATCAACAACATAGGAACCAAACACAGAATCAGACCAAAAATATATTGATGGATGTGATTTTAGAAGATTTGTTGGCGTGATTTTCACTAATGAATATTTTTGTCTATCTTATTTTTTTTTAAATTTTTTTTAGGGGATATCTGGTTCTGTGTTCGTAGTTATGCAACGGAGCTTGAAAACCTAATTTACAAAGTTGCTAGAAAAGATGTAGTGTACAACCCAATAAATACAAGTTTTAGCTTAATTTTCTTCATTTTGAATGTACAATCCAAAACAAACCAAACATCTAAACAACCAAAGAAGCAAGATTAGCTGCCTTCAACACTAATGGAATACTCCTAAAAGGTGGGACACCACAACTGACTCTCAAAAGAATAGGACAATAGAAACTCATGGGAAATTTTACTTATCCCACAATTTTATCTCTTTATACCTATTTTCTCATTTTATTATTAAGAAAAAATTAAAAATCTCATTACAGCTTTTATAATATCAAAACTAACTCTAAATTAAACCTTTTTCCAAATCCTTATAGATTTTTCTCATTACATCTATTCCTTTTGAATTACTCCGGTGTCATGTTACCGAACAAATTATATTTGTCTAGTCATTTGTTGCCGCACGTTTACAGATTCACTTTCCTTATAATATCATTTTTTAAAAAAAATTTATGACGGGCTTGTTTGGTTATACATTGCTAAACAATTTGGATTATTCTGGTGTCGTGTTGCTGAATAAACTAGATTTGTCCAGCCATCTATTGCTGCACGTTTACGGATTCACTTATCAAGCATCTATAAAAATATGAAGTGTACAAACATCTATTAAAACATTCATAAAATTTGTCAATACAAATATCTTCAAATGTGTCAATACAAACATCTATAAAAACACTAAGATGTTATCTCAATCCATCAGGGCCGGCCCTGAGATTTAGGGGGCCCAAGGCGACCTTCGGAAATTGGGCCTTTCTTACATTAAAAAAAAAAAGTTGATGGATAAAACGATAAGTTACAACAATTTTTTTATTTGTTTGTAGTCAGAAAAAAATTTACTTACAACAACTTCATCAACCAAACATGAACTTTCTATTTGTTTCTAGTTACCAAAAAATTATCAAGCGCTCCCGATTGAGATTGAATAAAATTTTCTAATTTTTGCTTCTTTTTCCTTTTTTTACATCCAAAAATATACTTCTTAGGAGGCATGACTACTTTATATAATCACAAATCCACAATTTTCTAATTTTCAAAAATTTTCTAATGTTTATACTTCCAGAAATTTTCTAATATACTTACAGAAATTTTCTAATTTTCTAATGTTTATTTTCTTTTAGTGACTCACGTTCTTAGCCTCAATGGGTATTATAAATTATAACGTGTTTCTTGTTTTTTGGCCCATGTCAGTTGAGCCTCTAATCTTTCATGATAAATTTTGTTTTTTTTAGGCCCCATATACAATTGGGCTTATAGTATTTGGATTTTTTTTTTTATATCTAAAACATAAAATCATATTTTGGGGCCCTATTTTTAGCCCAAATCTGGGGGCCCAAGGCGCATGCCTCTTCGGCCTACCCTCAGGGCCGGGCCTGCAATCCATCTATGTTGATAGTTTTGGTGATTACTCTATTAGGGCTGACAAGTGTACGAAATTGATCAATACGGGTAGTATATGCTTTTTTCATCCATTAGCATACAGGTGATGAAAGCGTATCCAATTATTTGCTATCGGAGGTATGATCAGGAAATAGATAAATCTAACAAACCTCGTCTGTATAGTCAATTAACAATGCATTACTAGCCTTAGTACAATGAGTAGAAGCATCATCCTTCAAAACAAAAAACAAAAATGTCAGAAAAATAAAACTGAAAATATTTGGTGATGAGTTACTAGACATGTATTTTTTGTTCGACAGTAGCTTACTGAAAAAGTATATTTTTGGTCGGTAATAGGTTGCTGGATATGTATTTTTTGTTCGACAATGTGATTCTAGACTATTTGATTTTATTCGGTTTTGGTACTCCGAATAAAAAACAACTCTTTTCAAAAACGAAACGAAAACGTACAAGCAAAGAAAAAAAATTCACCATTTCACTTTTTTGCTAGTCTTTCACAACCATATGATTATTACTTTTTGAAAGTAGATGTATAGTGGAGAAGAAGCAATGAGAAAGGAAGAAAAGAAGGATTGAAGTGTAATGTGTATAAAGAGATAATCAAATCTATTTAATTTTTGTGTTTGGTCTTTAAAGGTAATTTTATATATCGATAAAATTGAAAAAAAAATCTTAAATAGAGGGTGTAAAGAGGTAAATCTATTGAGTAATTAGAATTTTCCGAAACTTATTCAACAAATGACAATAATTAAAATAAACTCTTAACACCCTCCCTTAAACTGAGTATCTTTCAGACATCTGTTTATAGAAAATAAACCCCGACTTACGGATGACAATGGTTTCCTCTTATTTCAAACAACATCCTTCAATGAACAAATTCCCAACATTTGCCTCAACATCACAAACACAAGTAGCTTGAGAGGCTTGGTGAAAATATCTGTAGCTTGGTCTTTACTTCTATAGAAAATTAAATCAATGAAGCCATCTTTATAGAGATCACGCAAGAAATGGTATCTCACATCTATATACTTGCTCTTCTTGTGTAAAACTGGATTTTTGGAAAGCTTGATTGCAGAAACATTATCACAATAAATCAATGTTGGACTTTGTTATTGGTAGTGAGTGCTTTAATTAACCTTCTTAGCCAAACGACTTGACATGAACATGCTCTGCTATAACAAATTCAGTTTTAGTAGTTAATATAGTCACAATTTTTTGCTTTTTGGATGGCCATGAAATAGACCTTGTCCCCATCATAAACATGTGACCTGAAGTACTTCTTCTATCATCAGGATCTCCTACATAATCACCATCAATGAAGCCAAATAGACCCCGACTATGCTCCTCTTTTATAGAAAATACCAAAATCCTTTATTCTTTTCGCTACTAAAAGATGAGGCTTTGTTGGATTCTCCATATAGCGATTGATTAGGCTAATACATCAAACTTCCCACAATTTGTTTATAAAGAGTGTCATTCACCTTATTTCCATCTAACTTCTTTACTAGCTTCAAATCTTGTGATGTTTGGGTTCCAACTGAATTACAATCCTTCATATGAAACTTGCTCAAGACTTCTTGGACATATTTCTTTTGAGAAACAAAAATCCCAGCTGATGACTATATTACTTCAATACCAAGAAAGTAGTGCATCAACCCTAAAACTGTCATATCAAACTCAAGTCATCATAGATTGTTTAGAAGTATCAAACATGGCTTTATCATTACTTGTATAAATTAGGTCATCAACATATAAGCATACAATAAGAATTTTTCCACTTTCTCCAAGTTTTGTAAAATGTGTATGCTCATATGTACATTTTATAAAAGCCTTCTATAGCAAAATAAGCATATGACTGTACCAAGCTCTGGGTGCTTGTTTCAGTCCATATAACGCCTACGTTAACCTATATACTTTTTGCTTATTTCCTTGCTTCACATACCCAGGAGGCTGATTTACATACACTTCTTCTTGTAATTTGCCATGTAGGAAAGCCGACTTCACGTCTAACTAAAAGATGGGCCTTGAATTTTGTGCAGCAATGGAAGCACCTATTCTTGCAACGAGAGCAAATACCTCATTATAATCCACCCCAAACTCTTGCTTATACCCTTTTTCCACTAAATGAGCTTGTGCTTGTCCAATTCTTCCTTCTCATTTAACTTAGTTTTGTAGACATACTTGACATTTATTGTCTTACACCCTTTTGGAAGATTTGTGAGCTCCCATGTGTCATTCTTTTCTATGGCATCGATTTCCACATCCATGGCTTTCTGCTACTTTGTTTCTTTGACCACATCTTGAAGTATTATAGGATCACAATCTGTAAATAGGATCAATTGATTGATCAAATCAACTTACCACATAATCAATCTTGCATCAATGCTAGCTTCCTTTTAGTGCGTTGAGATCGCGATCCGGTTGGAGCATCAGGGTGTTCCACTGTTGAATTTTATGGCTGCATTTCATAAAATATTACTATTTCTGGACTTTGTGGATTGGTGGGGATGAAGTGTGGTTGTTGCTGCCCATCATCATCTAAAGGCTAGTTACTTTCTTCATTATTTCCATCAAAATTTGTTGGAATCTACTGCTGCTCTGAGTCATCAACAGCCCATGTCCATGACTTCATCCAATACTACATCTCGGTTGACAACAATCTTCTTGGTGATGGGATTATACAACTTATAGGCCTTTGAATGTTCACTAACACCAAGAAAAATACAATTTTCTCGTTTGTCATCAACTTTTTCCTTTTTTCATCAGGAATGTGAACATACGCTATATATCCGAAAATTATGAATTGATCAACAAATGGTCGTTCTAGTCCATGCTTCTTCGGGTGTCATGTTTCGGACAGCTAGTGTGGGACTTCTATTCAATATGTGAACACCCCAATTGATTGCTTCAGGTCAAAAACTCCTTAGAACGCTTCTCATTGCCAACATACTTTGCAACATATTTAAGATTGTATGATTTTTCCTCTCGGACACACCATTTTTGTGTGGTGTATAGGCTGCAGTAAATTGCCTTTTGATTCCATGTTCCTTATAAAAATTTGCAAAGTCTTGT